TAATATGCCTTTAGATATTCTATCCGAGGAACCCCTCGCTAATGGTTTGAACTCTGATCTGCACTACAAACTTTATAAAATAATGAATAGCAACGTTGAATTCCGTGCACTGATATAAAACTCTCTAAAGTACTTACCTCGCGTATACAGATAAGTATATATATTTTTTTTCTTGCAGTAAGTGGAAAGGCATCGAAAGCCAAAGTGCTCGACTTAAACTTACTAAAAACCGCCTCTTAGAAAGGAGTAGGGAATATCTCAACCATCAGGCAGTGAAAGAATACCAGCTAAATTGCATTGCAGTAATCAGTAGATGAACTTGTTAAACGCGAGTGCGCGGTGTGTTATTGAAAGCAAAGTAAAGAAGAATTATTATAATTATTATTATAATATGATTAAAAAAAGAACAAGGTATGTTGTTATCAATGGCAAAACGGTAGAAAAATTGAAACACATAATACATAAATATCACAAAAGTTTATTATGGTTGATGAAACTTTCGATAATTCGATAATTTATCAGCATTGTTAGGTCCACGATCTGTATTGATTCTTCGCTACCTATAAGAGATGATTCCAATTTAATAAGACTCACGCTATTACACATAGCTTATTCAAAATTTTTTGATAGTTTAATTCCATTTGCTACTTGGTGTCCCAATTTTTCACTTCCTTTAGGCATTTGTATTAAATGATTTGTGTACTTCGATTCTTGCAGTTTTATAACTGTTACGCACAACGGACTTGTTAGCGTTAGTGCACCTATATCATTATAGCTTAATTCAAATGTCCAATTATTTTCTAAATGCTTTCCGAACTGAGGCATCCATCTAATATTCTTTAGGTGTTTTTACATTTCAATGCAAAGACTGACACTATCTGAATTTCGTAATAACATTTTTTTTAAATTTTCTGTTAAATTGGTAAAATTTTATTATCTTATACGGTCTGCCATACTTTTCCATTACTCTCTTCCATACTCTCTTAACCCATTCCATTTGCAGTGCTTCTAACTCAAGTTCAAAACAAACTAAATAATACTTTCTCTATAATACTTTCTTCTCAAAAATTACACAAAAATAAAGCCTAAAAATTACAATGAACCCTTCATTTAGGCTTCATCTATCCTATGTATATACTATTCCATAACGTAATATTATATATATATGATATAAAATTTTATTTACTACTCTTTTTTTCTATAGATCAAGTCTAGGATATTGATTGCAGAACTCAACGGCTAGGTCCTTTTTAACTTTTCGTGATAGTAGAACTTAACACTTTTTAAGTTATAGTTCCGGCCATGACTGTAACTTTTTGCAAGGAAAAAGGAAAGTGAAGTTCTGGCAAGGTAAATGGAATAACTGCTATAAAGAAAGCAGATATTTAAAGAATTGCTGATTCCCAAGCGTAGAACTTACTTTATAATATTATATAAACTGTTAAATTGTTTGAGGCGTATTTGTCATTATTCATTGAGCTTATTGATAATAATAAAATAATAAATTTTTTTGTTAATAATCATAATAGTTTGTGAGTTTTAGCCTAGGTTGTACTGAGTTTCTCTATAAAATTTTTGCACAGTTAGCTGGCAAACATAATAATTAATAATCAATCAAATTCATTGTAATAAAACAGTTGAAAATGTATATATGATAAAAGTTAAAAATTACAGAACACTAACTCCTTTCAAATGTTGTTGGATATCACTTCGGTCGTTTTTGGAACCATTTCATTAAAATTGTTGCGCGTTCGTCTTTATTGTCCAGTTTAGGTACTGTTAAGTAACACTTTAATCTATTTCTCGTTTTTTGTGCTATGAAATGACATTTTTTCTTTTTTATAGTGCTGTGAATCACTAATTGAGAACTGCAGATATCAGAAAATAATAATCAAATAAAAATAATCAGAAAACTGATTAGTGAGAAGAATCAAATGGAAAGAATCGAACGCCATAGTGTGAAACTTGAACCCACTACAACCACCTCTTAGAAATGTGTATATGGAAGATTACTTTCATGGAAGAAACTTTTTATCAATTATGAGGAACAGAAAAGAGAGTAGATGGGCTTAGTATTTAACAAGTTAAATTTATTGAAGGAAAAACAGCATGGTGGAAATGAGTTAGGGATGAGAGGCCTATAGATGAAGTAAGTGATGTTAACTTGTAGGAAGTCTAAACTAGAAATAAGCTCTACGTTCGGGGTCTTTTTGACCTCGCTTGTATAGCGGAATATCTGACGGGTGCTCCTCCTTAAGGAAGGATTTCAGGAGACTTGTGCCTTATAGCCTCAAGCAGCATGGTTCGAAACGTAAAGTTTGCGTATATTTTTCGTCTGGTACTTGTGCAATCTGTTTTTGATGCTTTTAGTAAGCACTTTTGACTTTTACTTGCATAATATTTTTATTTATATGTGTATAAACATAAGTTTAAATATTGATTTAAGTTTAATATAGTAGGATAATTGATATGCAGTTAAGAATTTGCTATATTTTAGTTAATAATACTGAGGGCACAATACTATTTAATATATTTGAAGAAAAATAATATATTATTAAAAATCAATTCAAATTTTTATTGAATATAAAAAAGGAGTCAGTATTTATGCAATTTTAATATACTTTTTTTGTTATATACTTTATATATAATATAAATTTAATATATATGATAAATATATAATATATAATAATAATTATAATAATAGTAATAATATATATATAATAATAATAATAATAATAATAATAATAATAATATATATGTATATAATATATATATATATAATTTGCTATATATGTATCTACTGAAGGCCTTGATTTTAGTTGCACAAATGTACATAAAACCAATTTCGAGTTGATATACTGTAAGTACAAAAAATATTGCGCACTTTAAACAAAACTAATTTTATAAACAAAGAAACAAAACACAAATTTCTAATAAAACTCAAATCAAAATTAATCAAATTGTTTCCTTTTTGGTTTTGAAAATTTAATTATTATTTTATTTTAAGGATAGCAAAATGACAAAAAAATAAAAGAAAATGAAAGAAAATTTATCATATAAAAGTTAATGCAAGAAAAGCAAAAATTCAAAAGCACCAAGAAAAAAACAAAAACAAATATAAAAACAAAGTGTCAAATTAAGCAAATTCATATGAAAAATATTATACTTTAGAATAAACAATAAGCAGTGTAAGTGTAACATCATAGTACACACTTTAAAATTGCATTAGCGTCGTCGTTGCGGCCATTTTTCAGTACAAGAAAAACAGCTGTTCGAGTTTTAAGAGTATGAAGAGAAGAAAATGTGTATGGTTTAGTGTATTGCATGAGAGAGACCAAGAAAGCGGTTTGATATGAAGCAACGAAAAATGTATAGTTTAGTTTTATTTTCTACCCCGATGAGATGGGTCCTTCGGTTAAATCGCGCAAGCAAAAATATAACTCTAAAACAACAACAACAAGCTGAATTTTAAAACATCGACACGTTATTTTCTAAGTGTTGAAGAAGAAAATACGAAAAACTCTGTTCGGTCACTTAGCAGCCGAACGACGTTACTTTTTGCAGATAAAAACGACAACGTCGACGTTCACGTAAGCAGCAACTTTTTTTATTTTATTCATTTTATATTTCGTTTAGTCTGTTTTGTATGTTCCCGTTCTCTCTCTCTCTGTTTTTTTTATTTCTTTCATTTCATTATTATATTTTTATTATTTTGTTGGGTTGGTTGGTTGCTGAGTGTAAAAGAAGTTTTTTCTTTTATATATTTTTCGGTTAGACTTTTAATTCGTTAGTGTTCGTCGGACTCGTGTGCATTTGTAGAGTGAAAATATAAAATGTTTCTAGTTTTCTTTAGGAAAATTAACAAAACAAAATATATTAAAAAGGAAACAGTGTTATATAAAGTATGAATTATAAAACTTTAAAATAATTATTTGTGTATATAATTTAATTGTTAATTAAACAAAAATAAAGAGAAAAATTAACATAATTTACATATTTGCAAAAATCGTTTGCACAGTGGTTCGGTTTGTCAGTCGGCTTCTTTTTATTGTTTTTTGTTTCTCTTGTTTTTTCTTTTTTTTTTTTATTTGTTGTTGTTTTATACACATATATGTGCTTCGTTCACTTGAGTTTAATTTGTTGTCTGTTGTTGGTTGCCACTGACGTTCAGTCAAAGTGTCAACGCCGATGAAAAGCGAAAATCGTGTGGAATGTGCATATGTATGTGTGTAAATGCACGATGAAAAATATGCCCTCCAATAATAAGAAAAACTTAACTGCTGCTGCTGCATGCAAGGGAAAAACAAAAACAATAACAGCAAGTATAAAATATTTATCCAGCGCTGCTGCTAACATTCACAACTTCCGTTCTCGATCACTTCGTATTGCGTGCATGCGTGTCCTTTCACAGCCATGTTTCGCAATGTACGATCATTTCACATTTCAAGATGTGAAAACAAAAACAAAAAAATATCGTGGAAAACTTAATTCTTAATTCTCTTTTATTTTATTTTATTTGCAAAAAAATTTTATACTGCTTTTGTTATTTTTTTTTTATTTGTGTATCCTTTTTTCTTTTAAAACTTTTTCTGAAAATATTATTTCATTATTAATATTATTATTTTATAAAGTTGTTTTTCGAACAGTAATGAACTAGAACAACAAAAATTGAATTTATATTATATTAATTAATTGAAATTTTGGCTGACAATATTATTTCATAAATATTTTTTATATTCTTTTACAGTTAATTATTGATTAATTATTGGCAACCATTTCTTTTTTTTTTTTTACTAAGTTTCTTGTGGAATATCCTACACAATAAGAAGAAACTTAGTAATTATATGAACTCTTTTAAAGACTGTGCCGCTGTGGCGGGCTAAAGCATCGTAACATTACAACTATTAACACTACAACAACAGCAACAACAACTGTTGACACTACAACAACAACAGCAACAACTGTTAATAATACGACAACAACAAAAAATTGTCATACATCACAACAACAATTTTATAAAAATCATTTCATATCGAAAATTAATGGTTTCATATAAAAACTTAAAAGGCTATAAAAAGGACTTTCACAATTCTTAGGAAGTAAATTCTTTATCAACAGCTTTTTTGATATAAAATGGTAAGTTATTAATAAAATTTAATATGAATATAATTAAACAAATGTAAATTATATAAATAATATTCAATTTAAATAATTAGAAAATACAATTCTAAACACAAAATAATCAAAGGATAACAGTATTCCTATACAGTATTGTTTAAATGTGTTTTTAATTTCAAAAATCTTTTACTTAAGTAATTAAACCAGATTAAATTTAGTATATATTTATACTATATATATATTTGTACTATATATTATATTCTTAACAAGCCACCAATATAATATTACATACTAGAATAATTTAGATATATTGAAAAAGAGATGCTACACCCAATCAACGCAAATTTTTTTTGCTTCAAAATTAATTTAAACTTTTATGTTTTTAATAAAATAAGCAACAGCCAAAGTATTAGCTAACAGCACCAAATACAAAAACAAGTAGTAAAAACAAACCTAATATTGACATACTGATATAGCTAAATATGTGAACAAAGCCGGTAGATAGCAGCACTTAAAATGAGCAAAAGTTTTCACCTGTCTTCAATTAACACCCATTCACATACTAATCCATGCATTTGCACAGTAATACCTTTTATATTATCTGCTTTTAGGTCCTAGCAGTTTACAACAACAAAAACAGATAAATTTCCTTATTTCTAAAAAATAATTCTGACTAATTTATTTTTTATTATTATTATTACTTCATTTTTTTATTTAAGGAAATATTTTGTTTTTTTTTTTCGTTTTCAAATTTTTTTTCTTTAGTTTTTATTTTTTTAAGTGTGTTTTATTCCTTTTTCTGTTTAAAATTGTTTTTATTTTTTAATTATATTTATGAAATCATATTATTTTTTATTTGTTTTTTTATTTCTTATTTCATTTAATTTTTTGGATACATCTTAATTGATTTTATTTTTTCTATAATTTATTTGATATTATATTTCAATTAATTTTATATTTTTATTGATTTAGGCTTTCTTATTTTTTTATTAATTTTTTGTTTTCGTTATTTGACTTATTTATTTTTTTTTTATTGGTTTTATTATTGGATTGATTTTATTTTTCAATTGATTTTATTTGTTTTAATAATGATCTTTATATATGAAATCAACACGTACAAATACCAAGTAATGATTTTTCATACTTTTTTATTTAAAGGCTTATTGATATGTATTTATCATACATATTTATAAATTTATTTTTTTAAAACAATAATTTTTTTACCACTAGTTTTTTTTATTTTCTAATTGATTTCATTTTTTCCCCAATTTTTTTATTTTTCGTATTTGTTAATTGATTTTTTAAATTGTTTTTTTTATTAAAATTTATTTTTTATTAAAATTTTTTAATTATTAATTGTTTTTTTTTTTTTAATTTTTAGTTGTTTTTTTTTTTAATTGTTTTTTTTTTAGTTTTTAATGGTTTTTTTTTTATTTTTTTATTTTTATTTTCTTTTTAATTTTTATTTATTTGTTTTTATATATTTATTAAATGTTTCTATTTCTTTATTTTTATTTATTCAACGTTTTTATTTATTTATTTGTTTATTTTTATTTATATTTTTTTAATTATATATTTTTTTAATGTTTTTATTTTATTTATTTTTTAATGTTTTTTTTTCATTTATTTTTGAAATGTTATATTATATATTTTTCATTAAGTTAAAGAAGTTAAAAACATACTTATGCTATAAACAAATACAAAGATGGTTATACTTAGCCTTCATATATACCATATTTATGTATATAAGTGAAAAGAGCATATGATATGGTATGTATATTATAAATAAATTATCACAAAGAAGTAAAATATTTCATTTTATTATCATATTAAAATACTTTGATTATGTCATTATTAAATTAAGAGTTTAGAGTTATATTCTTTTAAACGTAAATCTTAAATATCTTAATGATATTATTAATAATTATCATTTAAAATTAGGAATTAGCATTTATATTTTGTTATTTTTTTTATTATGTATATTATTACATTATTATTATTCATTATATATTTATAATAATATTGAATAATTCTTTAAATAAATTTGTATATTTATTTTACAATTTTGAATTAAAATTATATTATGTGGTATTATTATCTTATATAGATGATTTTATAATAGAATTAATCCTTTCATTTTTTTTTTAACTCAATATTGTATTAATAATTAGATAGTTATCTTTTATTTGAGCAGAACAGTTATAAACGAAGAAACGAGCATTTAGATTTTGAATTATTCAATTTTATAATTCATCATATATAACAAAATATTAAATAGAAATAGAAGTTGTCGATAGAAACTTTTTGTGTTTTTTATATATTTTGTATATATCTCTATTTCTAGTGCAGTTAGCTGTTAATTTAACTGTTTCTTTCATAATTTTAAGTTTGTTTTTACCCTTTATTTTAGTGCAGCTAACTGAACGTTTTTCTGTTTATTTTAATGTGTTTCATATTTCAACAATACTTTAGATAGCCATCTGAAGCTTATTAATTTTTAATCCACGTTACGGGAGATTAAGGTTGTTATGTAGGTTTTCCGTTTATTTCTGCTACGTGTAATTGATCTAATTTGTTAAACGATTTTCCAATTTTATTTTTAATTAGCTTACACCACAATACTTACTGGTGTTCTTAGATTTTTTAATATAGTACTTAATCATAAGGTATTAATTTAAATTAATCGTACATCGAATTTTGAATCTGGCAGTTTAATACTTTACATATTGTGTGTCAATATTAATTGTTAGTGTTTTATATAACTTTTCAAACTAGTAAGATCATATGCTGTCCTTTAAACAAAAATATATAAAATTATAACTTTTTTTAATATAATAATTTGTGCTCTATAAAAATAATGTTTTAATAATCTATAAAGCTAGACGATTTTTTTAAAAAGTATAGCTTGAAAGTTTTCCGTTACAAAACCGTGGTCTTTATCGCCTTTTCTGACCATTAACTACTTCGTTGAACTTCTTTACGACCATTCAAATCGAGTAACGTGTAACAATGACAATCGAGTAACAATTGATTCTCCCATAGGACGTTCTTTTAGAAAACTAATCACCCATCTTTATAGAAAATAAACTAGACGTGCACTACATGAAATGCATTAACACTGGTCTAAGTCAAGTCTTTTAATAGTCAAATATAGCTTTTAGATTATTTCACAGAATTCAGATCGTTTACTGAAAAAAATTATTAAAATATATATATATATATTAGTCTTGATAAAACAACATTCTATAAACTTTGAATTTGATAATCTTATAGAACGATTTAGATTTCGTTTGCGGACAAGATGTGACAACAGATTTTGATCAATTCAATATATTAAGAAACTTCTTTCATTACGCTACATATTGTCATAGCCAAGTCCTGGAGATAACTGGCAATGCAGTTTGCAAATTTGCATGAAAAACAGCAATGTAAATATTGAATATGCTAGTTGTCGCTAGATGGTGTAATTAGGTTTTTTTTCAAGAGCAGTTAATATGAAAAGTTTACAGCTTTAAAGTCCGATATCTAAGAATCAGGTTTTACATCTTTAATGACATCTAAAATACCTAACTATGTAAAAAAATTTTCCAAGAATAATAAAATTTATATCCAGAGACAGTGTGGTTATTCCTAATTTTAACAATATTAACAATATATTTTTAAATATTATTAATTAAAACATATTAAAATATATGATATTGACATTTTAAATGGGGATATTTAAAATGCTTTAGTGGTATTTTGATAACGCTCTGTATATTTTATAAAAATACAATATAAGGATTCACTTATAATTTAATCCTTTTTTGTAATACCTTCCAGTGGCGATAAGGACATTTACTATTTATAATATTCGCTACTTTTTTTACTATTTATAATATTTACTATTTTATTTTTACCATTTATAATATTTACTATTTTAGTTTCATCATTTATAATATTTACTATTTTATTTTTCTATTTGTACAAATTACAATTTTATTTTTACAATTTATATTTACTATTTACATTACCTTTTTTATTTTTACTATTTATAATATTTACTATTTTATAATATTAAAATAGTAAATTTGTAAAATTTACTATTTTATTTCTTCTATTTATATTTACAAATTTATTCCTACTATTTGTAATATTTACTATATTTTTTTACTATTTGTATTATTTATATTTTTTTATTTTATACTAGAATATTTCAATAACTAATATTTTAAAAATTTGATATTTACTACCATCTGGAAATGATAATTTTTTTATTGTTATTATATTATTTTGTATGTACACTCGTTGATTTTAAGGAAAATAGCGTTTTTATATGAAACGAGCGTGAAAATTCCCATAAAAAATTGCGAATAAAGTTCACAGCTGCGTGATGCTTTCACAAACTGAAAAAAAAATGAACTGTAAACCAACAACAAATTAGAAAGACAAACGCCAACAACAACTACAACAACATCAGCGAACTGAACGACCTGCAAATATATTAGCCTACCACTCAGAATCCTCAGACAAGCGAGATAATCTTGTGTACCAACGTGTTAATGCTTAGTAGAGTCGCTTTTAAATAGTAGCTACACAGTTATTCCCCTTCCTTCATCCACCCCACATGCTGGTTGAATTCGTTGTTATGTCTCAGTTAGTGAAGTTGCTGCATAGCGAATTTGTAACAGACGAGAGGTAAATTTTGCGTCTAGTACGAGTAACATTTGCTGGGCCGAACCGTACGTCAGTTCCTCCACATTTAAGAGTTTTAGTTGCTATTCGCTGAGAAGTGGTGAGTTCGTATCGCAATTCGCTGTGTATGCGTTAGTGAGCAAGTAAGCAAGCGAGCGAGCGTATTTTCTACGCTGTTGTCGTTGCTGTTGTTGCTACTCATTTTTTTTGTTTTTTTTTTTTGTTTTATCTTTTGACATTTGCTGTTGAGAATTTTGTTACTAATAAAATTATTGCTGCTGCTGTTGCTTGTTCTTTACTGTTTACTTGTATCTTTCCAATGCACGTTGATCACATTTATTGCAACTTAACAACCGAATCAATACAGCAGGCAGCAACAGCAGCACTAGCAGCAGCAATAGCAACAACAGAACAACAGGCAGCAGAACTGTCAAAGTAGTATCAGCTTCTTTAATCGTATCGTTTCTTTTGCTTTACTCTTCTTTTCGTATTCATAATACACATGCCCACTTGTCTATATCTTATATGGAACCGGTTTTCAGGAGCTCTCTGTTCAATCTTAATAATATTTGTGTTACTATCGTTGTTATTGTTGTTGTTGGTAAACACTTGTAACATCAAAAATTGTATCTACAGGATTTTAAAATTATTTTTTTTTTTATATTTCGCCCAGCAAACTTGTTGCTTTTGCATTGAAAGTTAAGCAAGCAAACGTTAATAAAAAGGATTGCTTGCTTTCCTGCCTTGTCCTATGTGCAATTATTTTGCTTCTTGTTAAAGGGAAATAGTGTGTATGTGTGTGTGTCACGCGAAACTGTGGGTAAATTTTCAAATCTTAGTCTTTATTCTAAATCTAGATTTTCTTGTGGGTTTAAAGTTTCTTAATTATATGATAAATTTATATATTATCTTTTAATTTTGTGTATGATATATCATCACAAACACATATAACATAATATATTATATAGAAAATTGCTGTGGATGTAAAATATTTAATGTAGGCATTTATATTAAATAATTTTTAATTTATTTATATAGTATTATTTTTATTCTTTTATGTTAAGCACTTTTACTCTATGATGACTGGGGGTTTCTACAAAGTCCCACCCATCTCACTGACTATTTTGAGTATTCCTCATAATCGTTATTATTCAATTATTGATCTAAGATCTGCGTGCCGCCCCGTGTGGTTTTTATTCTATTTAGATACTGTGTATTATCTTTAATATACTTACATATTATTCTTAATTTTTTTAAATATTACTATTAATTTACTTAGATTTTATTCTTAGTTTGTGCAAATATTATTATTTTTAATTTATTTAAATATTTCTATTTTTAATTTATTTAAGCATTTTAATACATTATAAATTTTATTGTAAGATTTTAGAAGGTAAAAAAAGTTTATCAAATTCGGTAGAATAATTATGATAGACCATAAACTCTAAAATTTTACGTCACAGACCACTTTATAAAATGAAAATTTAATTCAGAACACTCAATTTTATAATGTACATTGTACATATGCAATATATATAAATACATAACAGTATGTTATATATAAATATATAACAAAATGCCATATATAACAATATGTTGTATATAAATATAATAAATTTTATATTATATATAAATATAAAATATATTATAAATATAATACATATTATATTATATATAAATATAATATATATTATATTATATATAAATCTAATATATATTATATTATATATAAATATATAACAATGTGTTATATATAAATATTTAAGAATGTGGTATATATAAAAGTATGTTAACATATATATCAAATTATTATATATTTAATGTATACAGTTTGAGGAATTCTATAATAGAATGAATAAAAAATCTCTAAGGCTTATAAAAATAATATTTTAAATTTGAAAGTAAATTTTAAACTTAAATAAATTTTTTTCTTTTTTAATTGCATACTATTGCAATTAAATTAAAATTGCATAACTACTACAATATTTATATTATATTTGAAATTCACTGAGTTATATCTTGACTTAAAAGTACATACTTACAAAGAAAATTAAGATTTGGGCGTAATTGTAATAATCAACGACCTATCAAAAGAGAAAGAATCATCTCAGGAATCTTAACAGGACACTCTAAACATAAAATCCATCCTTACGAGACTGTATATATATATGAAGAGACAGCCATACATTTGCTGTTAAAATACCCTAAACCCAAAAGGGGACACAATAGACCCGACGGTCGTAGTGTCATATTCCATATTAAATATATATTCATACAGACAGACAGCTATTCATTCGACAGGCAACTATACAATTATCATCGCCTTAAGTTCTTAGCTTATATTAAATATGAAATTGCAATACAAATTAATAAAAATATTTGAACAAATAATAAATAATTGATCAACTAACTATATTAATATATCATATCATAGATATCATGAAGGGATATCTTGAACACTTTATATATAATCTTAATAAGGTCATAAGCAAGCTTATAATCAAGTTAGCTATTTGCATTTGACTCTCTAAACAGACAACATCCAAAGATCTGAAGGTTTATAATAACTGTTGTACTTATAGTTGTTTATTTATTTAGTTAGTGATAGAAAAATTTATTTTTCTTTGACTCAATTAAAATATTCGCAGTCAATTATACGGAGAAAATTTGGCTTATAGAAAAAGAATCCTAAATAGAGTGGCAATATTTGTATTTTGCTTGTAGACTCGACCGTGAACCCTATATAGAACCCTATATAGAACCCTATATTACAAAAAAATTTAATTATGCCGAGTTATTCACGAATAATATGTAGTATATATATATAACTGAATAACAGTTTTAAATAAAATTTTTTATATAACTTTCATAAATTTTATTGGTTCACAACTTAATACTTAGTTTATTACCACTAAAAATGATCCTGGCCTGTTAAAATCAAATATACTTACATATAAACTCAATAGGTTTATATGTAGGTATAACTACCTTTGCAGTACATGAAAATGCTCAAATCAGAAAAGAATTAGTTATTGTTAATCATGAAATGTATATTTAGATTAAAGAAATTATATATAAAACTTAACTAAGAGCTACTGAATACGTCAATTTCTTAGAAAATTGCTAATTCCCTCCTAACAGATATTTTCGCAACAAAGCTGAATACAGTTAAACAGCATATCTTTGGATTCATACTTTTTTTCTGTCGGAAACTAACACTATCCACTAAATTAGTACGAGTATTTGTATAATGAGCTTTTGAACTTTTTAAAGATTTTAAGTTGATTTTTAAATTTCGATCCGTGTGTGTCCTTTAATCTATCAGCTTTTAACTAGTTTCCATGTTGAAGTCATAGTTCCATGTCCGGTCAAAAATTTAATCAGAAATTTAACTGAATGTAAAGTTATGTAGTTTGATTTTTTTTTTGAAATTGGAATTTAAATTGAATATAATACAAATCATATTAAAAACATATATATAACATAATATTCTTGTTTTAATTTTAGCTAACCTAAAAGGGACCAATTACTAAACAACAGGTACCACAACAGCACTGAATACACAATCTAGAGAAATAAATATAATTGATTTGATGTCAACTGTTCGAATAATTAAATTAATTGATAAAATTCGAACATATAATCTATATTTGCTGAATATATGAAAAATGTCATCTCGTAAAACACTAACTCTAACAGGGGCGAAGTCGGATAACGGACCAGCAATATCCTCAACAATAACAAACACAACTGAAACAGATAATGCAATAATGGGTTCCAATTTGACTGCTGTAACTGAAATTTCTAAAATTGAGTCAGAATCTGTCGCAACTCCTACAATCAAAGAGTTTTCAAAATCTGAATCTAAAAGTCCAAATGAACTAAAACGTGTAACTAGAAATTCGCCTTCATTACTAACGTCTCCAAATAGTAAAAAAGAACACCGAACAGATGACTCGGAACATAGTGAAAGTGAAGATGGCACTTGTACTCTAGCACCGAAAAAGTTATCACAAATACGTGGTCGTAAACCACTCAAGGAAACAAAAGAGTCCAAAGAAGTAAAAGAAAGCAAAGATGACAAAGAAGTCAAAAATGACAAAGAATGCCCAGAAAGTAATATAGAACTAAAAGACAATAGCATAGAGAAAGAAAAGACCATACAGGAAAATTGTACAGAAAAAGAAATCAAAGAAAATAAGGATTCCAAAAGCAATAAACATGTTGATATAAAAAATCCTGAAGACTTAAAAAATACGGAAGCTAATAACGTAGATGATTTGAAAAAATGTAATGATAAAGAACTAGAAATAAAAGACTCAAAAGAAGATAAGGAACAAAGAGTGCAAAGAGATTCATCAGCCAAATCAAAAGATGCGGATGAAACCAAAAATAAAGATAAAGATAATGTAGTTAAGGAAAAAGAATCGAAAGAATTAAAGATCGTAAAAGATATTAAAGAAAAACACGTTAAAGACTCAAAAGAACAAAAGGAAGTACCAAGTAATTCCTCGACTGCAGCAAGTGCGGTGGCAACACAAAGTATTCAGCCGTCTTCGTCTAGCAGCAATGGAGCCAAAACAATTGCACATTCCACTAATAGACTTACACGGAAGGCCTTTGCAGAAGAAAAAGCCTTACAAACTCGTATCACACGAAATCGTATACTGGGCAATAATAGTACTAGTACACCACTTAGGTTAGCACGACCTTACCGCCGAAAAATAAATAAAATGCCTGCACCTATAGTAGAACCTGCTAGCAAACGTAAACGTTCCATAGAAGATGCTTCGTCCGTTGAACCTGGAGCAAAATATATTAAAGTAGAAGTGAAAGATGATACAGAAACTATTGAAGAAGATTGTACACTAAATACTCCAGTTAACGATTTAGACAATGTCAAAATTAAACAAGAAATTATTGAAAGTGATGAATCTTCAGTAAGTACCAGCTCCACACGCGGTCGTGGACGAAGTCGTAAAGCACAATCTTCACGCGTCAGCTTTTCACCTAGTTTACGTGCCACTCGTCAATCAAAAATGGCTTCAACGTCACCCTCACCTTCAACTTCTAGCACAGCTAGTGAACCAAAGAAAAGAAGAGTGACTACACATGGTACAACAATGACAAGAAGTTCATCTGCAAGTTTATTAAAGGATGCAGTGTCTATCACTTGTCATCCACCTGATGAAGATTCTAAAGACAGTTTAGCTTCTTCCATTGATGATATTGTTTTGGCAAATATAAAACGTGAAAAAATACTACATGAATCTGAAGATGGTGATTATGAATCATATGAGAAAAGCTCTGCTATTGTAACTGAAAAAATGGATACAGGATGTGAACAGGATATAACTTTACCGCTTTCAGTTCTGGTTAATGCCGATACATCGACAAAAATATCTGTTTTGAATGATAATACAAAAATGGCTGAAACAACCTCTGCAAAAGATGAAACAAATGCCAGCAGTGAAGGTTCAGAAAAATCGGCATCTCTGAGCCCTGATATGGTCTGTGAACGTTTAAGTGCTATCAGTGTTAAACAGTTTTATAAGAAACCAGAATTCCTTGAAAATAATTTAGGCATTGAAAAAGATCCTCAGCTTAGTGAAATTTTACAAAAAGTAAACACAGAGAAGGAAAATAAGATTGAGAAAGAAATTCCTAAGGAAATAACAAACAATATTGAAAACGATAATAATGTTGAAATGGATAACAATACTGAAAAGGATATTAATATTGAAAAAGATATTAATATTGAGAAGGATAATAATATTAAAAAGGATAATAATATTGAAAAGGATAATAATATTGAAAAGGAATACAATATTGAGAAGAAAGACAATATTGAGAAGAAAACTAATATCAAGAAGGTTAACAATATTGAAAAAGAAAATAGTATTGAAAAGGGAATAAATGTAGAAAAGGAAAGTAATATTAAAAATTTAACTGATTGCGAAAATCTTAATAATATTGAAAAGGAAAATAATATTGAGAAGGAAACTGATAAATTATTTAACACTGAGAAAGATGTAATTTTTCATGAAATTGAACACAACGATTTTAATGATGCAGTAAAAATAGACGTACGGGTTGAAGATAATGATGATCGAAAGTCTTTAAAGCAAGATGATGATTGCAGTTTCAGTACTGGAAATATATCGCCGTTGGTAATTGATGATGAAGATACAAATATGGAAGAAACGGATGATATGGAAAAGCTTGCAATTAACGATTCAGACAATGATGACGATATTACGATTGCAGAAAGTGAATCTATTTCAATGGAAAATAATCCATCAATAGATGAAAATACGACTGAAGATCAGGATGATATAGATAAAGACCTAAACTTGATTGCAAAAGATATCGATGATGATGATAAGGGCGAAATTAACGAAGTTGAAAAAATTGAAAATGATAAATGTGATAATGAAAAAGCCAAGCTTGAAACTACAACTGTGTCCGAAATACCTGAACATAAGAATGTAAAATTAATAACTATGAGTATAGATGACCAGAGCAATAGTGAAGATAAAAAATCAGAGCTAAAAAATTTATTCAACGACATCGCAGAAGGTGATAAAGTTATTAAAATCGAACAACAAAAAAATAAAGAAGAAACTGCCAATGATATTCAAGTTCGTAAATTATCAACAGAAAATAAAGAAAACTTAGCAGACACTGTTGAACAAAAAATTACTGAGGAAAATGCTGAAAAGGTCATTAAAGATGATATTGGTACTTCTAATGAAGAGAACAAAGAAAATATGGTGACTGCAGAAGAAATGGAAGATAATGCCGAATCTACAAAAATCAAAGATGAGAAAAATCATTGTGAGAAATTAGAAGAATTAGAAGACAACAAAGATGAGGAAATGGTGGAATTAATTATAGAGGAAGAAAAAATGGATACTGATGAAAAGGTAATGTATTTATAAATATAATGTAAAAACTATAAGTGCTAAAGTCAAATATGACTGAAGAAACTATTATTATATATAAAAATTTGAACAGTCTTAAAATTATATACAGACTAATATACAAATAAGAGTTATTTCTTAAGACTACTATAGATGATATATATTTATATATAATGATAGATATTTGGCACTACTCTAAACAGCTATATGATCATCCAAAAAATTGGATTAATTAAACATAAATATTTGATTGTTTACATTTTTTTATAATATACAATTTTTGTGTTAATAAATAATATATTTTATAAAATTTTATAGGATATCAAAAAAGATGAGAATAATATTGATAGTCAGGAAGATTATAAAGTAATCAATAGAGATGAAGATTCGGTGTCGGTAAAATCAGTGCACTCATCTGATGCATCTTGGGTAACAGTTGAATTGGATAATGTTGAAGAGGCACGTCAAAAAGAACAACATTTTCAAAAACTTGGTCTAGTAAGTCATAAAACCGCTTATCAGTTACATCAACATCAACAAGAGAAAAAAAGAATACAAAATTCAGTGGCTGCTGTTGAAGCTTCCCGAAAAATACAGCTAAACAAACGAAATGGAAAAACTGCAGCAGCTACTACATCTCAAGAGTATACAGGTACACTAAAAACTGTTATCAAACTGAACCGCAGTGCAAGTACGAACAATGGACGTAAAACACATAATCAGCAGGCAAATAAAGATTCAACGAATGGAGGCAGTGGTATACGTAGGCAATCACTTAAAATGACATTCCAAAAAGGACGAGCGCGAACACATGGAAATAATGATCGTTTAGTTGATTCTCAATCTTATACAGAGGATTCATATTATACTATACAAAATGAGGTAAAATAATATAATTTTTAAATGCTCATAGAAATTATTTAAAACTAATGTTTGTTTTTATCATTTTTCAGAACGAAGGTGCGAACAACAAAACAACTAATTTAAATACGCAGAATTCAAATATTTATTCGCATGGTAGAAAATCATACAATCGATCTAACACTACTAGCCATACCAACACTACAGCCAATTCGGCTACAATTGGTGTGTGTTTTAGATATAGTTTTAACAACTTATTAATTTTTTAGAAATTAAGTTTATTTAATTTAAGTACAAATTAATCTAATAATTTAATTAATAAATTATTATATTACTAAAAGAATGTATGCAAATAATTCACAAACTAATAATATTCCGTAATATTTATATTAATTTAAATTAGATCTAGAATTTTTAATCAAAGATATCATATAACAAAATATGTCGTATTTAAAACATTTAGTTTGAATTACAATATCGTAAACGTTCTTAGATATAGTAAATTTTTTGCATTTGATAAAATATTAAATAATCAGAATTTTTAATAAAAAATTTGAGAGAAGAATATGTAGAATTTAAAACTTTTACTTAGTTTAAAATTATTGCATTATCGTAAACGTTCTTAAATATGGTAAATTGTTTGCATACTTTTTTTTTTGTAATAAGGTTTTTTATATGCTTGTCTTTTTAATCAAAATAGTTATGTATATAATTCCAAAATTTGGTTGTTAAGTTGCTATTTTATCTCAGCCTTTTTTTTCTTGTAAATATATAAAATTAATATTTGAGTATCGTAATTTGTAAAAATGTTGTAAGCAAAACTAATTTGTTCAACATTATATTGAACATTAGCTAATTCAATAATATTTTTATTTCAGATTCGTCACATTCAGAAGGAAATGATTTTCATGCTTCTGTAGTCAATAAAAAAGATGAAAAAGAAGAAATACTCATACCAGAAAAAGCATCATCATTTAAATTTCATCCCGGCCGTTTATGTGAAGATCAATGTTACTATTGTAGTGGAAAATTTGGTTTATATGATACTCCATGTCATGTTGGTCAAATAAAATCAGTCGAACGTCAACAAAAAATACTAGCAAGTAAGTTCTAAATTCTATATATTAATTGTAAAAATATCCTACTATAACAGTCTAAAATTATTTACAGATGAAGAAAAACTTACCGTTGATAATTGCTTATGTGATGCATGTTTCCGACACGTAGATAGACGTGCTAATGTTCAGTTGAATAAAAAACGTCTTTCTGCACCTGGTCATTTGGAAACAAATACAACAACTGCTCACACTTTAAGTACAAATACTGCAGAGGGTGGAGATGATATTGATCTTGATGTAACGATTAGAAAATGTGTTGTACCAGAATGTGTCAATCCAGCAGCACACTCGTTAAGACGAAAATGTATACGTAAAAGTGTCAAAAAATTCTTGCTTAACTTTGATATGCCTACTGGAGCTTCGTTAGTTTGGCTTTGCCAGACTCACTATGATACGGTTATATTATGCTCTGGTTGTGTATTGTGTAAAAGACGTTTGGCTAAAAATCATATGTATCACATTACTTCTGTAAGTAATTTATAAAACATATTTAAAAAAATCAAATTTTACAATTTTTTTTTCTTTTAAAGGACACTGACCGTTTAGAAACCGCACTATCAGAAATGGGTATACCTGTGCAATTGGGCATCGGCACAGCTGTATGTAAACTATGCCGTTATTTTGCTAATCTATTAATGAAACCACCAGATAGTACTAAATCACAGAAAGCAGAATTTGTTCAAAATTATCGGAAAAGGTATGTTAACTGAAACGACAGTGTTAAGCAAGAAGCAATTGACATAAATTTCTTATAATATTTTCTCTTATTAGGCTTCTTGAGTTTCATAATATACATGATGGCAGTAATGAAGTGTCTGAAATAGATGAGGACAATGTTAATACCAACAAAAAAATGGAGAAACAAAAGAGTCCACATAAAAAGAAGAAGAAGGATAAAACTGCTGAAAGTAAGGAATTATTATCACCAACTGGTTCAACAGGTTCATCTGTTCAATGTTTGAGTGAAGCAGTTGATACCGTTGATGAAACTCTCACAAAAACACATAAATTAACAGAAGAAGGAGATGAAGTTGAGATTGCTTATGAAGCACCAAATGCCACAACGGATTCCAATTCTTCAAGTTCACCAGCTTCGCTAAGTAATACTGATAAACCTGTTTCGAAATTGCAAGCAATTTTACAAAGCACGAATGCAGCTGGTAGCTCAAATCAATCATCAACTTCACCTGATATTTCAAATGTTTTGCGCGGAAATCCAAATATTTCGATGCGTGAGTTGTTTCCAGGTGAAGAGGATCTTGGACTTAATTTCAAAGCACCTTTTGGTTGCAGTGGAAGCCAACGTACACCAGAAGGTTGGACACGTGTACAAACTTTTCTTCAATATGATGAGCCAACTCGACGTCTGTGGGAAGAATTGCAAAAACCATATGGTAACCAAAGTTCTTTTTTACGCCATTTAATACTATTGGAAAAATATTATCGCAATGGTGATTTGCTTTTATCCCCTAATGCGTCTTCAAATGCTAGTGTTTACACGCGACAAGTGAGACAACGTCTTACCTCTTATGACTTTGGACATTGTGGTGGTTTACTTACTTCCAAACCCGCTGAAAAAGAAGCAAATTCAATTCCTACACTAGAAATACAAGATGACGATGAGGAACAGGCGGAAGAAATTAAACAAAATCAAAATAAATCAAACGAGAAAACACAAAATTCTGCAAATCGTTCACCAATTTTATGTGAAAAATTACTTGCTGAGAAACCCTCTATAGAGAAATTTTCTAAGCAATTAAATAATGCAGTAACAATAATTGCACGTCCCAAAGAGACCATATCGAAAATAGGTGAGAGCTTACCACAAAAATCTTTGTTAAAAGAAAGAGAAAATACTTCTAAGGAAACAAATGCAAGTACTACAAATACATCTAGTAACGTGACAATTACTACTGCTACAGCTATGAATAATGCTAATACAGGAAGTAACAGTCGTAGCATATTGAAGGCTAATCTCTTGGGTATAAATAAATCAGTTGAAATTTTACCAATATCAAGCTCAAGCAATATTGCACCCAAAGCTACAAATGCTACTGTTACTACCGGTACTACATCAAAACAACAAAAAATATTAGAAGTGGCAAATAAGTTACTTGAAAGTCAAGAAGAAAACGCATTAAAATCCCAACAAGCGGCTGGAGCTTCACTATTAACGTCTCCACCTGAACTTGTGCGTTTGCAACGACGTCCCTTAGCAACTGGTAGTGGCATATCAATTAAACAAGCGCCACCTACAAATACCAACAATTCTTCAGCATCATTGTTAAACAACAAACGCACACATTTATTGAACAATAATAACACACACCAACACAGAATTGTAAAATTACCAGATACACTTACACCGCAGGAGCGTCAACAATGTAAAAGCTGGCGACCGACACTTATGCCTGTTGAAGAAAATCAGCATAAATTAAGCAAAAATGGACCATTTTATCAAACAGCCGATGGACGCAAATTACCATCACTTGTACAAGTACAATCTGGGGGTAAACCGTTCCTTATCTCCATATTTGACTACAATCGTATGTGCATCTTAAGACGTGAGAAATTGTTACGTGATCAAATGCTAAAACAAACTGCCAAAAATCGACAGGAACAAAAATTGCAACAACAGCAGCAACAACAACAGCAACAACAACAACATCAGCAACAGCAACAACAACAACAGCATTTACATAAAAATCCAAGTTCTACTGCAACTAGCGGCGGTAGTAATGCTAGCAGTCTTAATAAAAATTCTATAACATCAAAGCAAATAGCACATCAACAGTTAATGCAATTGCAATTCATACAATATCAACAAAACCAACAAAAACAGCAGCAACAACAACAAGCGGCGGCTGCTATGAAGGCAGCAACACGCTATCAAACCATTGCACCAAAACCATCTATAAGTAATAGTGCAACAACATCAGCACCGAGTTCTGTAAATAATAATATTGCAAGTAATTATGGTGGTGGCCCACCAATGATGTCTATGCTTACGAATCCTGGTTCAACTGCAAGTCAAGCTATGTCGTACGGTACTGCTTCTTGGCTATGGAATAATTTTCCAGATTCCAATCAATTAATGTTAAATGCTGCAGCAGCACGTAAATTACCAACTCTATTATCTAAGCCAAATGTGACGGAAAGTACACCAACTGCAACTATTACATCAAAGCAGCAACAACAGCAGCAGCAGCAACAACAACAACACCAATTAGTACTAGACAACACACTCATGTCAAAAATACCCAAAAGCCTAACCGTAATACCGCAACACAAATTGATGGCTAGCAGTTCCGGCACTGCGGGAAATAGCAATGTTGGCGGTGGTAACAACATGAAGGAGTGATGATTAAATTGTTACTGGCTTGTTAAACGCAGAAGGCGCAGGAAAACGTCGCAATTGAAACGTATTTAAAAACTTTAAAGGAACAAATATAAAAAAAACAATACAGGTAATGGGGGGGCTGAATGGATGGATGTATATTCTTAAAAATCCAGATTTTATATATAAGAATTAGACTATTACTATTCTATATTAATTTTCATTTAAAAATATACAAAAAATATCGTGAACTTAGTAAGCAATAAGCAGTGTTGGGAATAGAATATAATTACACTAAAGAATGTAGGATAGTTTCATATATTATTAAACATAATATGTAGTTAGATTGTTGTTAGTGTTAATTGCAGGATGTACAGAATTATATCTAACTGCTGCTTACCAGGCTCACAACATTAGCGAATTACATTAACATTTATTTTTATTATATTTATTATTATTTTTTTTTTGTTTTTGATTTAAAGTAGAATTAACTTGTACATATATATCATCTAACCCTCTTTTATCGCGAGGTACATTATAAGAACAAAAAACATATATATATAAGTATATAACTAAATATCATGTTTACTTCTTTGCTTTAATTTAAGAGAAACGTAAGAAATTATAAAATCAAATATAATAATGAAAAAGACTGTAAATGTCAAGTGTGTGTATGGCACTTACACAAAAAAATCATAAACCATACGTAAATAATAAAATATTTTACTTTGTTACATATATTACATATACTTCAAAAGGATATATAAATAAATAAAAATAAAATAAAATTTGTTTAAAAATACAAAATTTAACCTCAAAATACCCAAACAAATTTTAAATAACATTTTATATATATATATAAAAAAAAATTATATATACATATAAAAAAAATTAAGGAAAAACAGTGCCTAAAAAATGTTACAAAATGAGAATATACATATATATTATATTATATATATGTATATTTATATAGAAAGCAAATGTATTTGTATATTAATTTGTTATATAAAAAAAAAATTTTAAATCAGTAAAGCAAAGCAAACTTTAGTGTTAGTAGAACCTTCAAAATTAAGTTCAAAATGTAAAACAAACAATAAATACATAAGATGCGTAGAAACCTAATATGTAATATAATATTTATGTATACTACTACTGAAATTAAAAGAAAAAATAATAAGATTGTTAAACATTATACACATTATATGAGATATTATTAAAGAAAAAATAATAAATTTAATATATTTTAAATTGTAAATTCATAGAAATATTTTTAAGAAATATCATTTTTAGTTTTTAAGATATTTTTGTTATAAATAATTCAGTTTATAATATGTCTAAAATGCTATACTCAATAAGTTAGAACTCATTTTAAGTTTACGAAATAATTTTTTTTTATTTATTTATGTTTGCTATTAGATTTCGCAATTTTCAATTAACACATATTTTTTATTATGATGAAATGATCAATATTTAACAAAAAAAAAAGTGATGTATTTTTGAAATTAAAATAAGTTTATAATCTTATATTTTTATTTGTAGTACTTTTTATACTTACATAAATTAAAAATGTTCTGAAAATTAAAAGAAAGGCATTTCAACTTACAATTAAATTGTTGCATCAACATATGTATTAAAAACATTTATTTTCTTTAATATCATTTGTTTTTTTTTTTTTTGAATATTTTTAATTTCATTTTTTTACATTATCATATATCAAACTGAAAAACTAAATTATATAAATATTAAAAGATAATATCAACTTATACAAAGACAAAATTTCATATATTGTAAACATATTTAAAACTAAAACTTTGTTATGAATACTTGTGTTTGTCATTTTTTTTTCTCATTAATATTTAATCAAAAACAACTAAAACAAATTACATATTAAAGAGCTTAAATATTTAAAATTTATTTCTTACAAAAATTATTTATCACTTACGTAATATTATATATAATTAAAAATACTTATAATTTTTTATTATACAAAAAATCGAAAAACAAAACATTGTATAGACTAAAAACCAAGAACACTGTTTTTCCGCTATATATAAGTTTAATTTATATGTATACATAATAATTTACACATATTATTTGAAATTTAATTTTCAGTTAATAAACTATATTATTTTAATATATCAAATTAAAAACAAAAATAATCTTTTACTTACCTATGAAAAATCAAAATGTGTGAGAACAAAAAAATTTAAGTAAAATTGTACCTTCTGCTGAAAAAGTATCCGGATTTTGTTGTTTGTTAACTACTCCTTAAGTAATAGACCTTTTTCAAAAATTTTTGTTATGTTGGTACACCCTTTCTTGACATGATACAAATTTGAGCGCCATCTGTCAATTAGTTTGTTTACAGCAGCTGTTCATGTGAGACTACCTCAAGTGCATTTGGCGATTTTTACTATGGAATAGTAAAGTTGTATCCTACTACACAATTCCTTGCTACTCGATAATTTTTGTATGTAACGGATGCAAAATTCAAGATTGCAGCTGAGGTGGTCAAATCTTCATTTTATGTTGATGACCAGATTCTCTCTCTGAATTACATCAATTACGATGCGAAACTGGGAAGCTTCAGAAACTGGGAGGTTTCGAACTACCTAAATGGCACTCAAATCAACGAGCCTTCAGGATTGACACTACCATCAAGGATGGTAGATTCGAATGCTGTTACTAGCACATTGGGACTAAAATAGGATTAAGATCATGATAGTATAACATATTTAACAAATCCTACACTGTAGTCTCAATATTATTAAATTAAATGTAACTTTCTGTTACATTAAAAATCCTGTTCCACTATCTATCAAAATGACATTTTCCTGTAACTTTGTTTTTAAAATGACAAATCATCAAGTTATTAGAATTAATAAAAATCAGTATGAAATTATTCCATCTATTATACTAACTATTATTCATTTGAATTCGATTTTCTATTAATATTAATTTGTGTTATAAAAACTAATATTAGATATAATGTTTATATTTACACTATTAATATTAATGTGATATATAAGTTTGCTGCCCTGTGAAAACCTTAAGGTTATATATAGTTGAATATGTTTGGTTGTTCGGGAATTAATTTTTTTTTCTTTATGATAACATATTGTTTGATTTACATATTCTACATTAAGTTTCAATTTCTTTTGCTGACATCAACACATTTTCTAATATTAAATTCATTTCAATTAAATACATATCAGTTATCAATTATGCTTCTTCATTTCTACTCTACTTCACTCAATCCAACTTTTATACTCGTATTATCATTTAAATAAACTACAGATCTACTATTCTAATCCACTATTTTAAATTATATTGAAATAGAAGAATAATAAACAAAAACATTGAAAGCGCTAATTAACAGCACCAAAAATGAGAAAACTGCTACTTAATAGCACTGAAGAATAAAAGATCAATTTTTAAAAAATTTCTGTATCATATATTAAACCACCTTTATTTCTCTATTGCATCGTAGATCTTAATACTTTCTACATTGTAGTGTAGTTTATAAGAAACTTATAATGAATATATCGAACAGATTTACGTTACGCTTATATCTATATTTCCTTCTTTAACCTTTGCGCCACAGCATATTAGAAACTCTGCAGCAATTTCGCAACTAAAAAAATCCTTTTATATATTTGATTTTTATTTTAAGTACTTATACGTACTGGTCATCATTAGTTTGTTGTGCAGCACAATCTTCATATATCTCCATTACCATTTTTAATGTTTCTTCATCGTTTTGCAGTTTTTCGTTAATCATTTCATGGCCACGTTCGATATTGATTCCTCCATCTTCATTCATCTATTTATTTAAATTTAAGATTTTTCAAAAAAAAAAAGATAAATCGCATTAATCTTGAAAATTCAAAACTCACTTAATCACAGTGTGCATTGCATATTTGTGGTACTTAAAAGTGTGAATATATACTCGAAAACCATCAAACATAATCCAATATTTATCATATATATTACAATGAACTATTATGCAGTACAATGGGTTCTTTGTAATGCAATCCCTAATGGTTCTATTTCAAATCACTGATAGCTATATTAGCCTCATTATATTATATATCATTATATATTATATTTAAAACTGCCGAGCTTCCCTAAATGACTTAGCAAGGCGGATATAGGCGTTCTACTTACTACAGTTGAACTGGCAATTAAACAAAAATACCAGAGATATAGGCGTTCTACTTGCTACAGTTAAACTGGCAATTAAACAAAAATACCAGAGAATACCTCAACGTAAGATATCTAGTTTGACTTAAAATAATTTAGGTGAAAAAACCAATCAATCAGCTACTTCAATTAAGGCGGAACCTGCTCAGCACCATGGTACCTGTGCAGACGGGTCACTGCGAAATGGAAGACATGCCATTAGACGGGATTACTCAATAATGACTTTTGTCGCGGTTGTGGCTCTGAGAATGAGGAGGATACCGTGCTGCATCTCAAGTGTCAGTGCATGTTTTTAGCTAGGAGAAGAGTAAAAATCTTTAAGACTCCTTTTCTTACCGACCTGACCGAGCTGTCATTCTGTAATATTACGGACTTAGCCAAATTTATAGAACTCAATGAAGATTTTTTAATAAATTTTATTCGATGAAGAGGACTAGCTCCAGGTAATAAGTCAATGGAATCCATAACAAAGATATTATCTGAATATTGTATTTATCGATACATTTATAGTAATATTCTATTACTTATTTTGGAATGATCAATACTTAAACCCATTTAAATTTTTATGCTTCTACTATTTTAAATCCATGAGTTTCATTTGAACTCAAAATATCATTCAACCATGTATTATAAATACTTGATTTCCTTACCAATCCACCCTTCTTGAGGAAGCAGGCTAGAAAACATTTAGAATTTGTAGTTGCTGAATCATCCATATTTCTTAAGCTGGCTTCTTCATCTTCATAATATGTGAATTTTATCAAAATTATTATATATTAAAATTTTAGTATACATCACATACCTTCTGATAATGGGTATTCCTCGTTACATTCTTGCATCATAGTTTCAGCTTCAGTTTGACCGGATACAATTGTAAATATATTAAAAATAAAAAATATTAAAATCAATAAAGGAAAGATTTTTATAGTTGCCATTTCTAGTACACTCCAAAATCGATTGTTACTGGTTGAAATGCAATGAAATTTTAAAACCTCATGAACTCTTACAGCTTTTTATACCTACAAAAATAACTAATTAACGAAAAAATTTCACTTAGATCGCCGTAAGTAGGTTTTATTTCTTTATTACCACAACTGTGAACAAATACTTTCGGTGATTATATAATTAACGTTTGAAAAAGTTATTGACAGTTCATGTTCCAGAACAGGGGTGTGTAGACCAGAAACGATAGCGGGCCAATACAAATCACTGTACAAGTTGGAGGACCGCAGAAACAAATAGATACGTCGCGGGTCGCATGTGACTCGTGGGCCGTGCTTTGGACAGTTCTGTTCTAAAATAACTACTTTCATATATAGCAAAAAGTCATCAAAGAAACATTTGTTAATTTAATAAGTAATTAAAATATACTTGTCTTATATTATAAATATTAAAAACACATTTTTTTTGCCCATTAAAGGTAAAAGTAAATTTTTACAAAATTTTTATTAGGTTCAGTAAAGATGACTGAACTGAAGATAGAAAAAATATTCTAGGAAGAAAAGTATTCTAATGAAGACTTTAAACTTTAAAGACTGTAAACTTTAAAGACTGTAAACTTTAGTGTTTATTAAGCACTTAAAATAAGCAAAACAAAAAATTATACTGCTCTAAACATTTTGGGGATCCAAATGCCTAGACTCAGTACTTTACTACTAAACCCGGTCTTCCCAAAACAAACGAAACTTAAAAATAAATTTCACAGCTCATAAAGTAATACATTTTTTTAATAACACATTTAATTCTTTACAGTTAATTCATAAAATTTAATCTCAAAGAGGTTCAACAGTATTATAAATAAATACTGGGGCACTGGCGACTACTTTAGTACTCGCACCAAAACATTACTGTAGTAATTTTGACAACGATTTAGTTCTTAACATTGCATATTGACAACATCTGAGAAACTTCACAGGACCGTCACAACTAGAAAAAAATAAAAATTTTAATTAATTATGATACATACATAATTACAGTTACTTTAACTACTTACGCATCTGTTATAACGACATTAAAAGCGCAAAGATTAAAGATGTAATTAGCAGTATCCATTTCATTTTTGGACAACTGATCTTTGAAAGCTGCTAACATAAACGGCACATTCACTTTATAGTTTTCTATCTGCGGAAAATACAATTATCATAATTATGTATCTTATCATATTATGTTAAGATACTAATATATAAAAAAATTAAAAATTTTTATAATATATCTGAGATTTTTTGTAACTCTGCAATAAACATGACTTGGCTTAACTCTGTAGCATGACTTCACCTATATGTAGACTTAGAAACACGTTTATAACAAATAGAAATATCAACCATGTATACCAATTCATGTCAACTTACAGAAAATAACTGAAATCTAATATTTTTTGTTAAAAACTAAATAGAAACAGAAAACAATTAGAAAGATGTAGTGTTTCCTAAACCGGACAAGAATCACTTATTTTCGCAGAACTGGCGTCCCATTAGCCTGCTCCCAACTCTGGGGAAATTGGCAGAACGAATAATCCTGGCTTGGCTAAAAACAGTGGTGAATGCCCTAAATATCCTTCCGGACGAACAATTCGGGTTTAGGGATGATCTCTCCATGGAACTACAACTAACTCTAAGTCAACGGGTAAACCGCTCTAAGTATACGGGAATCAACCAGGATGATAATATTCGACATAGCCAAAGCCTTTTACATGGTCTGGCAAGATGGCCTTGTAGTCAAAATGACCCATTTTGGGGTCCCAAGCGGGCAATTCAAATCACAACAACAACAACTATATACAATTGATATATTATCCCTTTACTATCTCTTTTCGAGTCCTTCTGAACTGCGTTTGAACGCAAGTCCTAAATGTGATTTAGGATACAAAATCGTCACTCTAACCTTACCTAACTTAAGTATTGCAAAGTTATAAAGTGAAAAATGAGACACTACGATTTTCACTTTTTATTCAGATAATGTTGTAAATATTTACTCCTTTAGAGTTTACAGGTATATATTAATGGAAAGGTTCATATCAATAAACATAACATCGCATTTAGATTATTAAAAATCCAGAAGTGACTTTAGAAAGACGACTAAATCCAATGAAAGTTAATGTATGTATTTTATGATAGTTGGTTTGTTTCTACTTAAACTAATTTGGAAATAACAAAAGTGTGACACAAACTGTCAGTTCTCTTCTCTCCAGCTATATGATTATCAATTCTTTTTCTTTTCTCCGGTGACTGGCCTTCATCGTGTCCGGGTATTGTATGTCTTTAAAGTGTATGTCTTTAATTAGTTTACTAAATAGGCAATACAGTCTCAGTATGCATAGCCAGTGATGACAGTGATGACAGTGACGAAACTCCAGTTAGTAAATAACTGGAGATTCGGTCACATGAATAATGAAATCTCATGAATGAAGTATATTTTTATTTACTTAAAGATATGTACTTACTACTTTAACTTTTCTCAATATACAAGATATGTAACATAAAGAATTTTCATTTAATTCGGCTTCTAAAATTCCAGCTGCAATAATTTCCTCTGTTGTTCAATATATGGTATATAATATAAAATTTAAATTAACTTTTCTTAATAATTTTAATTTAATTAAAATATTTAACTAATTACAGTACCTTCCGTAATTTGCACTTCTGAGCGGCATGCATCATATGCGTTTGTATGTTCAACTCCAGTCATGCCGTGAATTTGCTTCGAGATTATAAATAAAATAATTATCCAAACAGAGTTATTAGTTATTGCCATCTTCCACAGCTCCAACCTATAACTATCACAATAAAAAAATTTATATAAAACTAACTTAAACTAACTTAAATATAATTAAATTCTCTTTTATATGCCAAAGAAATAAAAAAAAAATTTTACAGCTTCACTTATTAGTAAAACAACTGTTTTACGCAAATGTTATTGGTTTGTCACTATATTAATCTTTGCACCCAATATTATCTTAATAAACAACAGAATGAAGTGAGATACAAAAGATATGCGATACTGACTTCTAATACAGCAGAGATGATCTATTATGCTTCTTTTAACACCCTAAATGAACAGAATACATCTCTATTCTTCGATAAAAGCCAGAATATCAGCTGTTAATGGTATTATAATATTAGATGAGGATAGAATCTTCTCCTGAAATAGATAAAATATTTCCATTTCATTCTTTCATATAAAATTATACAATTGAAAAATACTAATATATTTTCTATAGTCTTTAGTGTTACTACTATACTTACTACTATACTATACTACTATACTTTAGTCGTACTTACTATAGTCTTTTCTATAGCAAATATTCTTATGGTTACCAATGTTATCGGACTATATTTTATAGTGGCATCATAAATATATTATCTGAATTAATTCTAATCCTCCTTGATATTGAGATGCAACAACAACAAAATTAGTTTTTCAGAGTCTAATATCAATTTCTGCTGTGAAATAAATATGGCATTGCCTGAATTGTCTAAAATTCCCAACAAATACAAAAAACTGACTAGCAGTAGACTTATTCTATTTTTCATTCTTATTATTCTACTAAGTCGACTAAGCAGTAGAGAAGTAGTAACTTATGGAACAAAAACGATCATATTCATTAAAATGTTGAGGATTGGTTAAGGCAACTGGCAATAGTGGTGTACAATAATCCACCTAAGTCACGGGATGATATATAAAAAATTGTTAATAATAACAATAATAGATCCATTTTTGAGATTATTTGAAGCATGGTAATATTAGTATTTAAAAATATAATTTATGTATATATTCTTATCATTTATATTTCTAGGTATTTTGTGATTAGCATATGTGTTTAAATGCCAGTAGGTATATGATGTATATAAGTTATATATATACTTATGCTTGTTAAAACTAATTTATATTTTTTTTTTATTAGACTTGTTTCCTAAAAACTTGTTTTGGTATGTTTTCAAATAACAATATTATAATAATAGTGAAAACATTAAATAAAATCAATGAATAATAATAAATATATTTTCATTAATGTATGAGCAATCAAAAACAGACTATAAAACAGATATCTAAAACTATAGAAAATAATATATATAGTTGTTATGGCATGAAGAACTTTAAACACTTAATACTTGTTTATAATACATTTTTAGTGTATAGTAGTATTACAGTGACTGTCACAAAGCACACCTTCCAGCTATATTATTTTGTTATTTTAAGTGTTTATACTTAGAATTGTTATTACAGATAACAGATAAACTCAGCTGTCATTGTCTAGACATGTAATATATATCTGGAATATACAGATAACCTTCTACCTATATCACTTTATTATTTTAAGTGTTTATACTTAGAATTTTTATTACAGATAACAGATAAACTCAGCTGTCATTGTCTATTATTCCAGACATATATTACTTGTCTGGAATTTACAGATAACCTTCCAACTATATTACTTTGTTATTTTAAGTGTTCATACTTAGAATTGTTATTACGGATAACAGATAAACTCAGCTGTCATTGTCTATTATTCCAATCATATATATTTTCTCCAGCAACTTTACATACACTGACTAAATATAGCTTTTAATTTAGTTTCTGAGAAATGAAATTCTGTAGTATCAAGCTGCAAGGTCTTAGTTCCTATTGGATTCCATATACATATTCCATATACAAGACCTTGGCGTCAAACGCTATATGACAAGTTCCATTAAAATGTGTTATGATTATTGTTCCAAATTTCACAAAATCTATTTGTCTTTATATCTACCTTTCTTGCGTAAATAATCTTTTTAATATACTAATTGTATTGAAATTAACTTCTTGAATAAATTCTGCTGCACAAGACTCTTATAACATTAGTTCATTTTTCTGCAATTATGTTAAAAGATGGACACTCTCCGTAAAGCACTTCTTTACACAAAAGTCTTCGAAAGATGAGTTTTCAGTCTAAAATTAAATCTAATCTAAACCAGTCTGAATAGTGTTTTCAATACAATGACGAAATTTATCAGGCTAAAATCTGAAATTTTAGAAAGTAGTCCGAACATATATAATACCTAAAGTTGTTTAGGTTCATCATTATCATATATAATAAAGTTGTTTAGGATCATCATCATTAATGGCGCTATGATCCTACACTTAAAAACATATTAAGTGAGGAGCTCTGGGGAGGGAGATGGAAAACCCCCAGTTTGATGATTTGAATATTGTAATAGATGTTAGCCTAGCAGATTTTATATATTTTCTATCATAGATTTTTAGATACGCATAAAGATCATCGTAATAAAAAACAGAGATATTAGAAAACTACAATGTTTTTATTATTAAAAAATAAAAATTTTTTTTGTTAATTGAAATTATGAAAATATTACGCTAGTATTATAGTTCTTGTTCTCTAAATCCATTCTGGAAACAAGCAACAAATTCAGCAGCACGTGCACACCTAAACGAAATAAGTTTAATTAATTAAAACTAATACTTAACCTATTTACTTACATATCATTTCGGGTTAAACCATCAGCGCAATTCTTAAATATTTTAATGGAAATGCCTGTTATATATTCATCTTGATTGAAATAATTCTTAGCAACACTAATGCAACCATCGATGTTAATGGATCCATTTTCATACATCTAAATTTTTTTTTTTTCAATATTATTAATTTGTTTTACATTTTTAAAAAAACATAAAGAAGAGATATTCAAATTTAAATCCTTTCTAGGACTATTTGTATTGTATTTATTAAATAGTTTAAAAGAAAAATTCAAAAAAATCTTAAAAAAATTATTTACGAATAATTAAATTTAAAAAATAATTCAAATACCACTAATGATGAGTATTTGGCAATACATGAAACGGCGTAGTATGGTCAGCCAAATTTTAATAAGTTAACTAAAATTTTTGTTGTTGTCTTTTCATTTCTATTCGAAATCTTCTAACTTTTCAATAGTTTATTTTCGTCATAAAATGCGTCACTTTCTACAAAAAAAAAATCAACATTAAAAATATAAGTATTATAAGAAATACGAATAATTGTTCAGATTTTTCTAGTCGGGATCAGCGAACTTGTAGAGCGACAAATAGCTTTAAAATAAAAAATAAACCACCTCGAAAATGAACTTTTAATTCGTTGAACTTGGGATTTTCAAATAAAGCTGTAGTTTATAAGCTCGCTCTAATTTAAAGCACGACAAGTGCTTTGGTTAGTGTCACTTAAAAAAATAAACAGTTACAAAAAACTTGGAACTTGGGCATTGAGAGTTTATGTAGCCTTGGCTACTTGCAAAAAAATATGATTAATTTGATAGGCACGAGTTCTAAGCCTGGCACTTGCAGTCCAAATAAATTATATATGGAATATAAACTAGTACTCACTCGCCAAGTACTCACTCCATTCACTGATGATGAGTACTTGGCAATACTCGAAACAGTGTTGTATGATTAAACAAATTTCGATAAATTAACTAAAATTTTTGTTGTTGTCTTTTCATTTCTAAAATTTTAAAAATTATATGTTTTAATAATAAATATTCTGTACATTAAACACTATTTAAATTATTAAATATATATAAACACGTGAACTTAAATAATATCTACATATATTATATTTATTTTTATTAACTTACCATAAAAGTGCGTTTCAAGAGACAATAGGAAAAGCATTTCACATTATCAGATACTTCGTCCTCATATACCGCTGCTAAGGAAAGTGTCTCCTCTAAATTATACAAATGATGATAAAAATTAAGTAAAATTATATAAAATAAACCAATCTTACATGTAAATTAATTTCAATTTAGTTTAACAAATTTTTAATAATCATTTGAACAGTACAAACCTTGTGAAAGAGGTTGTTCTGTCTCACAGTCCTGAACGATTTGAGCGTAATTTAATGAATCATAATCCATACTTAATCCATTTGAAATGAAAATAGCAAAAATAAACGCTGTAAAGATTTTTATAGTCAGCATTTTTGGAGTTCCCGAATTTCGATTGTCATTTAATGAAAACTTATTAAATAATGAAAAGTCTAGCTACTTTTCACGTTATTTTATTTACTAGAAAGTAATTACAAGTAAATTTCAAAATTGAAGTAATGTTTTAAATAAATTAATGGTTCTCATTAATTTTTAAATTATTTTTTAATTTAATTTATAGTTGTTGTGTTTTCAGTGCTGATAAGCATTTTTGTTCTTTAAGTATTATTTTAAGGTCTATCAGATATTTTATTGCTAAACAAAAAAAAAAAAATACGCTAAGAAAATTCAAAAGACTTTTAAAAATCACTTTACAAAACTTACAATTATAATTCTTAAAAACGTATGTATAGTAAACAAAAACCATAATAATTTAAATATTACATAGAACAAAATTATACATATGAAGATGACTACTAAACAAAAAAAACCCTCATGTAGTTAGAGTATACTTTTTGAATGTGCGCCTGCTCACCCCGAATTTGTTCTCCCTATACTTAAATGATCTGCATGACTTTTCTCTGCATTATATATATACAACGGGCGGAGTTCTTATCAACTCAACTCATACAAAAGTGCTTTTGTATGATGATGATGATGTGGTTCTGCGGACTCACTTGATGTATTGCAAATTATGATAGATGATCTGTTTAGTTATTGTTCACAACGGGATCTTATGGCAGATTATTATTTTCAGAAAAGGTCCTAGACTAAGCAATTCGTTGTCGTGGAAGTTCGAAGAAAGCCAGGTAGAAATTGAATACAATAATAAATACCAATACCTTGGGATATTAAGCATTTTTAAAGACAGGATTTAGATTTTGACTTCCACGAAAAAATTGAAAGCTCTATTTCCAATTTCAATAAGTGTATCACGGGGTACATCAAATTGGGTATATCCCAAATAGCTGTATCAGATAGATGCAAATAATTATTAATAGAAAAACAAAAATATCCAAGACTCTAAAATTTATTTATTCAATTAAATATTTATGGCCACATAATAATTAATAAAAATATATAATGAACATGGGTTCTGTTTTTAAACAATAAGACGCAAATAGATGGATGGATAGGTAGAGACAACCAGAGATTGATAGACATACAGATTAATAGAAAGTTGGATTATTAGACAAATAGGCAGATACAGTAAGTTCTATAAAGGGTTCTTATGGACATGTTCACTAACGCAGCTGATTTTTTCTCTTGTACTAAGTATTAAAACACAAATTTCTACAGTTGCTATTTTTTTCTATTTTATTTTGTATTTTAAAAACTGAAATGAAATGTAGTAGAAATATTAACAAAAAACGTAGACTTTTAAGAGAATATAGTACATTGATTTGATTTGATTGAAAAGAATACACACACACACACAATATTAATTTGAACAAATTTCAAAAGTTATACCGAAATCGACTAGAAGACATTATAAGTTTATTATTTTCTATTTTCGAAGGTATATTAATCTAAATTATTATGCTGGAAAAACTCTGTTAAACAATTTGCAAACTCCATGGCAAATTTACATCTGAAAAATATAAGTAGAATTAATTGAAACTAGTATTAAGCCTATTTACTTACAGGTCCTGTTCGTCTACTAAGTTCGCGCATTGTTCGAATATAGAAATTGCAACTAAAACATCCTCTTCACTTTCAAAGTGATTCCTAGCAACTTCCAAGCAGCCATCAGGGTCTATATAACCGGCTTCATTAAACTAATTAAATTTAAATAAAAATGTATTAAAAATTATAGATTATAAATTTGAAACTTTTTAATGAATTCAACTGATATGTGTAAGAAAAACCGTAAATCAATAAGAACTCAAACTATAATAAATTTCAACAAAATTTTTATTTTATTTCTTTAATTAAAAAATTTTTTGATTAACTATACCCCAATTTCGAAGATTATCAAATACCCATCATCAATGATCTTTAGAAATAGCTCAATGATATATAAGTCCGAAAGTGTCAGGCTTTCAACTCTGAATCCGCCAAAATTTTTGGAATAATTATTTATTCGTCTGATAGATATCAATGCCAAATACTGCATGTAGTTTCATTATTCAAACATCAAATTTTTTGTTATTTCTTCGAATTCAATCTGACTCAGAACACCTCTGCTAAGACCGATCCCTACTTACGCTAAGGTATTTCAATTTTATGGTTTACCTAGAATACATAAACATACCATAAACATAAACATACAAACATACCACTTAGACCAGTTCTGTAATCTACTCGAGTATTTAGCTAAAATATATCCCAACACATTGGAAATATCTTTAGAAACATAATAGAATACATAAACCAAACATACCACTTAGACTAGTTCTGTAATCTACTCGAGTATTTAGCTAAAATATATCCCAACACATTAGAAATATCTTTAGAAACATAATCGGGGAAAACTACGACATAGGAAACTCGTTTGATCTCAAAAAAAAAAAATAACATTTTAAAGACATTGTATTCTAAGAATAAGTAGTACTACATTATCTTAGTGTAAATAACATATTTAATCAGGAACATACTTGATTACGAGGGTCACTATTTATATGTTGAGCATAATAATAAAAAAATACTAACTTGTCGTTGAAAATTGCTTTATTGTTTCACAAAGTATTCTCCTTTATGATTAATACACTTTTGCGTGCATTCGAACTATTTATTAAAGTATTTTTTTCAATCTTCTTTAGACATCTCCAAAACATGGTTTTTAAATGCAACAAGAGCTTCTGCTTCTTCCGCCAACAAAAATCGTTGTCCATGCAATTTATGCTTGACGTCGGGAACAAAAAGAGGTCATTGGGTGCCAAATCCGGACTGTACGTCGGTTGAGTCATTAATACGATTTTTTGAATGTTCAAATAGTCGGTTATTAGACGACATGTGTGAGCACTCGGATTGTCTTGATGGAGAATTAAGATACTGATACCTTAAACTATTTATTTAAACGCATACCCCACTACAAATATTGTGTTATGTTTCTCCTCTCATTGTAATTAGTGTTTATTTAGACACTTACAACATGTTATTTAGACCGCAACAAAATTTTCATTATTGTTATTTAGTATTCATTTAGGCTCATAAGTCGCAAAAAACAAAAAGGCTAAAATTTATACTAACAAATCAATCAAACATATACATAAACATAAACATAAACATATACAAATACTAGTGGTAAAAAATGCCAACAAAAGAATTTAAATGAATTTAGAACACACTACTAAACAACAGCTAACCACCGAGTCATATTAACAGAATTACGAGACTTAGTGTCTCGTATAAAGGACACTGTGTAAAGACCAACAAATCGTACTTTTTCTTCTTCATTCCATTGTATTTCCAAGAGAACATTGGGCCATACAAAGCGTATTAAGGATCAATAATCAACCAGATTTTTCAGTATATTCTACATCCCTAACCTTTTTACCCAAAATTTAGTAAAAATGTCTTTGGATATTTAAAAATATAATTTTTTTATATTCGATACGTTATTTGGTTTTACATCTTATAGTTTTATTTTCTCGCAAATCATACACACAAATAAATAAACTAAATAATAGGTATATATTATTATAATAATTTTTGCATATTTACCATAAAAGTTCTCTGCATAAGACAATATAAATCACATTCGATAAACTCGATTTTCGATCTAATTATGTCAAGTATGGATGCCGTCTCGTCTATTGTACATATATAAAATCAAGTATTTTTGAAATAAAAAAACCTGTGAACTTAACTTTTTTAACGATTTTAGATTAATTTTAGGCTGCTGAATGCTGTTACCCGTTTATTGACCAGATATGTGGATCTCTGGCAACAATCAAATCTTATTGGCATAGACCCAAATATCTTGGATAAAAGCGGTTTGTAAGTTTGAGTTGTAGAGACACAAACTAACCCAAAACCGTCGTAAAATCAAAAGAAAAATAAATAATTTTTGTGTGATTAACATACGAACCAAACGGTTGGAAATTTTCCATTTCACAATCATAATCTATTGCATCGTAATCTAATTGTTGGAAATTTTGTGCGTTATTTGAAAATATTGAAATTAAAACAATAAGACTGATGGAAGCTGAACTCCTTATAGTTAACATATTTCGTCCTTTCAGCACACGATTATCACCTAATGAAAACTTTTGAAATATTAACCACTCCATTGATTTCTCCACACTCTTTTATACATGAAAAAGTAATTACAAATACGAGTACATCTTTAAGTTTAATTAATTTTTTAAATAAATTAATTGTTCGCATTTAGTTATAAAACTTTTCTTAATTAACAGCTGCTTATTGATCGATAGGAAGTATTTTTGTAATATAATTTTCTCTCAAGACCTATTCAATACGAAACATCCCAATATGTCATAGCTAAACAAAGTGAAACAAAAAAATTGTATCAATAATTTTAAATCAAAAAAATTTCGAAATTTATTAACTTCCAAAGAAAAAATTTTTAAGAAAATATTTACGTTACTATATATAATATTTAAAGCTCCATGTGAGATCAATATTATTAAAAACTTTACAATTAGTAACACATTTAGAGTAATGCGATACCTTAAATCTATATATTCTTTATATAAATAAGTAATTCGGAAAATCTCCAAATAATATTCTCCAAGAAAAAAAAGATTTTGAAACTGAGAATATAATTTTCGATTTAGCACAGTTTGAGTTCTATATCTTTACAATTCATGACTTGCAACAAATCACTCATACCAAAACAGTCACCAAAAAAAAAAATTAACAATATTATTAACCAATGGCAGTCAGACCGATGGTGGGGCCAGAACCATGTGTCATAAAAATAAAAAACAACCAAAACAAAAAAGAATTATTGGAATAATCTACAGAATTAATACAATCCAAATTACTTATTGGTACTTATAATTTGTATGAACTTATCAAAAGAAAAACTTAGACTCATCACAGAAATCTTATTAGGACACTCTAAGCTAAAATACCACCTTACGAGATTGGGTATATATACAAATGAAAACTGTCGATTCTGCGAAGAGAAGAGACAAATGTGCTGTCAGAATGCCCCTGCGTTAATGCACATACGGAGTATACTCCTGAGAATGTATACCATTGCGGAAGAGACAATACAACTCTGTAAAGTAGTTTCTATACTACTCTTTAGCAAAGAGTATATCTCAACAGAGCTTAGAGAATTACTCTAAACCCAGGAATGAGTACAATAGACCTGACAGTTTCAGTACCACTTCCCGTATCAATAATAATAATAATTAACCAATTATTGTATATTTCACACATTTTAGTTTAGTGATCACAAAAACTTTGATTTTAGAATCTTGACTGTTTCGCAAGCTCTTAGTTCTAAGTTGATGCTTAAAAGATTCAATAAAAATCAAAATAATTTAAAAAAAAAAGTTTCGTAAACGTTGATTTAAACATTTAATTTGATAGAGTTTTTAGTTTTTTTATATATACTCCATGTAATGCCTAATAAGGTACGAGGGCGGTTTGCTAAGTCAGTGACTTTTTGAATTTCCCGCGCAGTTACTCCAAATGCAACAGTGCTGCCGTCAGCTGTAAACTACCAGTGGGCAATTTTTTAATTTTGAGCAAGCTACGTCGTTTAGTTGGTGTTTGATAGTCTTTGGAAAAAAGTGGAAAAAAGTAAATTTCATTAAGCATTACGATCCCAAATCCACGAATTGCAACCCCATCCAACATATTATCCAGATTTAACCCCCTGCGACTATTTTCTGTTTCCAAACCTAAAGAAATGACTGAGCAGTAAGAGATTTGAGTCGAATGACAAACGCGTATTTTGAGAGCTTTGAGAAAACCTATTATTTGAAGGAAATAAGAAAATTATAAAAACGCTGGACTAAATATATCGAGCTAAAAGGTGATTATGTAGAAAAATAAAATGTTTATTTGACGAAAAAAATTTGTTTTATTCAAAAAGTCACTGCGTTATCAAATCGCCCTCGTACCAGTTAACTGTTTATTATAAATAAATAATATTTCTTCGTAATCAGAAACGTAAATCCTTAATTATTTATTTTAAATGATATTGTATATTTAAAAAATAATTTATAAATAATTATTAATTTCTTACACTGAACACTGCTGTTTTCTGGTTTACGTATGAATATCGGTAATCGTAACGAGTGATTATACCTTCCCAACCTAACCTTAGGTTGGACAACAATGCTAAAATATTATCTACAAATGTTTCTTTATAGATATTAATTTTTTAGACCAATAAATTTCATACAGAAATTTACAGTAGATACAGTTTATCTACTGAGTAACAGTAATGACTGCATTGTAAATGAATTGATATTTACGTAAAATGCTTTAAATAATTTTTTGTCGTTCTATTTAATTATATATATATTATCTAATGTACCATAAGTAGTAGCATAAATTTTCACCTTTCGAGAACATGTTTTAAAATTAACATTGATACACCTCTCAGTTAACACGTCTCAAAGATAGGATTAAAGATTCTGACACCTACAAATTTGATAGAATGTAGAATAATATATAATAGACGCCCATTTTATTTGCTCGCGGCTTGTTGTTGTTAAGGCTCAAGCCCGATATTTTTAATGGTTTTAGTAGAACTAAAAAAGATTTAGAAATCGAAACATATTTAAAGAATTATAAATAGGCTTATCAACAACCTAATCTAGAAGATTCTCAAGAATAAATCCATAAATTAAATATTATATTAATATTTATTGATTATGTGGAAAAAGAATCCAATATGAATGATATAAGTCACTCTATTCATAGACAAATTTAAAAGCAATCTACAGCAAACCTTAATTTGATATTATTAACACCTTTCAAGGAAGTATAGTATTAATAAAATGACTTTAAATCGAATACCTTAGCTTTTACTCTTATTAATTAACAGTGTATATGTTTCTTTTTTTAAAAAATGTTGAGCTGTCTTTAGACTTATCTTAAAAAAATATTTATGAAAAGATATAGAATATATACGATCTATGGAAGTCGTACTTTATTTCTTAATACATTTGATTAGTAATAGATTATAAATAGAAATTAAGAAAAAATGTTTAACTAAAATAACGTAACTAACGTTATTTTAATTTAAAAATTAAAAGAAAGTCTCAACCTTTCAACTTAAAGCTAGCTTCAAAGCCTTTAAGATCAAAGCAAATAATGTCTAAACTTATCTCTTCTTTTTAGATTATCTTAATTTCGCAAGACTAGCACCCGTAAAATGTTGAAAATAATTTTAATGGAAGCATGCATATCTCCTACCATAATCAAGCCGCTTCCAAATCTCTAACCTTGGTCCAATTTTTAAATAGGACTATTTTTTCTCAAAACAGAATATCGAGACAATTCAATGTTTCTTTTCTTCTAGTTCAGAGATGAGAAAACATATTCGTTAAATACAAAGTGAATGAACGCTCCTATTAGGATATCTAAAAACAACTAGCAAAGATCGTTAAATCTTCCAGTTAAATGTGATCATTTGCGGCTACCTTCATGATAGACGACGAAACATTATTGTTATTTTGAAAAACTCACTTATATAAAAATACTTTATTAAGTAGTTAAAGATAAGGATCCCTGTATTACATATAATAATATAGATTTATATATAATAAGCGACCTTAGTGAACTTCAAGAACGTTTAAATTTTTAAAAGATTTAGAGAGGGGATTAGATGATTTAAAGGATTAAAATTTTGGAGTTTGAATTCAACACTCTTAATTTTTTAACTTCCAGTCCAAATGTAGAAAGTTTTCAAAAAAAATACAATCACGAGTATAATCAGAATCGATTTATGTTTAGCACGAAATCAAGGTCCTAACGCAATAAATAAATCTAATATTTATTTATTTATAAAATAAATTTATATATAGTTCTGTGTTTAGAACTATACATATATATAGCATATATTTTAGGTTGTCGATTATCGATTGCTCCAAACCAAGGAAGGAAGTTTATAATTAGCCTATACTATAGTCCATATGATAAGCCTAGAGATATAACTATTTCAATTGAATAAAATATTTTTATGGTAAGAAAATCTAATAATAATATTTTAATATTTAATTATAATAATCGTTAACATATGTATTAATTTGTATTATTTTTCTTAATTACATAAATGCTCTTAGTGATTCATCAGTCAACATACTAAATTGAACACATCTAACAAGTTCAACAATTTCATCACAACTACAAAAAAAATATATAAATTAAATATTAAAAATTCTTTCAGCAAAAATAATTACGTATTATCTCCACTTCTATTTGCATTGCATGTACTTATAATACCGCCAAGAGCTTCCAATGCTTCCGAACCTTTTCCAAGGATAGATTCGGATGCACTCAGTGCTGCCTCCACATTGATAGCTCCAGATTCATCAATCTAAACATAATATATGCTTCATTATATATATGTATATGTTTAATCATTATAATTTGGTTTAATTAATAATTAAGAATTAATTTTAACTTGAAGTATATAAAGTGCAATTACCCTAATAACTCATACTTATTACAGAATAGTTTATTGTACTAAACACCATTTAACTAAAAACCTTAACTGTTATTATTTGTATCTGTTACTATTGTGAAGCTATTGTCAAGTTAGCTTATCTAAAATCAATGCCGCTACTTACAACCTATAAGAAATTCGTGAGAAGCCCAAGTCCATCGGGTAATATTATTATATGCAACAATTTAATATCTTATGTTACTAGGTTCAACTTCTACGCAAATATGGAAACCACAACAAAAAATGCATGCTGAAATATTGATTTTGATGTCCGAGAAGACTGTTAGCATTAAAAAATTGAAACCATCATAAAATATTAACAAAAAAATATATAAAATGATTAACGATCAATTTTAGAGAAAATTGAAGACGTGGCATAAAATTTCATTTAATCATACAGTTGAAATATAATAATTCTGATTTGTTTAACTGTTGGAGTTAAGGTTATATTCACTTCATTTTAATATCTTTAAACTTTAATTAAATTAAAATTAATGGACTTTTGAGACTCGATATGACATTTGCTACATCTCCAAACTGAAGGAACTCTTTCAGAAATAGAATATCATCTGTTTATTTAAAGAACAGTGTATACTATACGATAAATAGACTAATCAAATTGAACCTTAAAGAACGACAAAATGGATTCACAGCAAGATGGTTAAGCA